GATGGGATCTGTATTTGGCAGAATGCCAATAAAAATCCATTCATGCTGAAGAGGAAATACGTCAGAGTTCGTTATTGCGAGGCAGGTGGAGTCGTGTCCGCCTTTGAAAAAAATTGCAGAAAAGGCAGGGGTGAGGAAAGGTGGGTCCTGGAAGATTCATCGAATGACAGAGGAGAGAGACTATTCAAACTGATGAGAATGTTGATTTGAAAGAAGGAAGAATGTTATTGTTCTGAGATCTCGTTTAGGGTGAATAAGGCATGTAGGTCTGTTCAAGGGAAAGAATGTAAACAAAATAACGTTCGCAAAAAGCAACTGAGTAGTCTTTTGTGTGGGAACAGCACCAGTCTATGCACAATGACAAGGCCATCCAAACTATGTACAATGACCACCATAGGAAAAATTTATTTTTAGTGCACCTAAACGCCGCATGGGTAGAAACGCCGCACCCGCTGAAAATTTAAGTTTTAAACACGTAAACGCCGCGGCGTTTCTTCCGGAAATTACGGTAAATATCCCGATCAATTTTCGCCGTACGGGAGTCGAACTTATTACAATTTTATATTTTCACTACACGTATGAAACTTTCCCAGAGGTCCATAGGAGCCGGACGACTGCATTAAAACTTAGAATTCGTTTTTTGTCTAAAATTAATTTGATAGATCAAAGTTGATACATCAAATTTTACATACATATATATAAAATAAGAAATTTAGAACTAATTTTTCACAAAGACCAGAAATTGAAATCCATAATTAATAAACTTTAAATAATCCTATAAATCCAACAAAGAATTTAAAAAATGTTAAAACCAAAACTTTTAAAGAAGCAATACCCCAATTCAAAAAATTAATGAAATTTAATGAAAAAAGAACAAAACAGAAGAGGAATCCAATCAACTTCAATATCATTTCGTCTAGAAGGAGGAACATTGAAATCAATTGAAATCTCTTTTACAAAAATCTCTGCTTTCAAAAAAATTGCTTTATAATTATATATATATATATAATTTTATTTTTGGCGGGAGGTTAAAAAAAAATCATGTTATAGTCATGACCAAAAATACTGCTGCATAGGTGATTGCAAATTGGGACGTAGTGGAATGACCCAATGGAATTTCGGAAGAAGCACGACCAGCCTGATAGGTAAACATCATTTATTTTTGGAAGACGAATATCTTAGCACATTATCTTCATAACCAGAAGAAGATTAGGGGTGCTAAACATGTCCCATAATTTTATATATGGAATTACATTTTAAATAATGGCAAATAGCTAAGCAGAGGCTGAGTGACATGCTGTCAAAAGTGATGCTGAGTGACATGCTGAAGAAGCAAAAAAGAGACACTACGCAGTTCATAGCTATTTATACTAGATTAGGTGCTAACCTGTGCAAGTACAGCTAACCTGTGATTGGTTAATTTGATTTTTAGTTACTTTATCAATTAGTGTTACGTAGTATGGAAAGATCTTGAATTTGGGAAAACAGATGAATTTAGGGGAAGAGCATAAAATCTAGAATAGTTAAATCTTCAGGTCGCCAATTATTTCTCAAAGCAGCCATCGTAGTTTGTTATATCTTACACACACACACACACATATATATATAATTAACATTGCCAAAATCTGAATATTTTCATCATTTAAAACGCTTCTGTAATTGGAAGTATATGACTATGACCAACAACTGCGAAAATAAAGGCCGAGTAAAAGGGGTGGGTACACATACACATATAATGCTTTTGGTGCTGTTGAATGTAATAAAAAGGGGAGATGCACAACTAGATGTTATGGCAGTCCCCTTTATAAAAGTTCTATGACTAGTCATTTTTAAATTATTCGAGATAGATACATTCCTTCTATGTTATACTTCAAGATATCTATAATATGAATCTGCAGACTGTTACTTAAGCACTGCACAGTTATTCATTTTTAATTAAACCTTTGAGATAGCAGACTTAATTTTGGTCTGTTGCTTTAAAATTCAAATTAAACAATTTTAACATACACTTTGATATCTTCCAAGCTTAGTTTCTAGGCTCTTTTCTGCCTTCCCCCCTCATTATTATTGTTTGGTCCAGTTTCTAAAAGCATTCACCAAAGCATGACCAAATGGATTAGATTAGGCTATTACTTGAACAAATTGGATTATGTTGTTATCAGCGCATACACATAATGATTTTGCTTTGAAGCTATATCAAAATGAAACTGGCAGCTTAGTTACTGGATTTAAGGCAAATGATTTAAGACTAGCAACATTTTTCAGAAATTTAATCTACTTTTTTTCAAGATAGATGTTTTTAGACATTAAATATGTATACCTGCAGCCTCAGATAACTATACTGCAGTCTAAAATATCTTCACATATATAAAAATAATAATATTCTGTGAAACAACATTCGATCAATTTTATTTTTTCTATTGCTATAGCGACCACCATCAACTAGACTTAATAGTGAAAGCTCTTCTCCTGGTAGACAGTTATTTTTTATAATTATATTGTTTCAATATAGCAATTTCTCAATGCAAAACAGTCACTATCCTCACTACTTCCATCAAGGAAAACGAAAATATATATGATGACTGAGGCATTATCAGCAGCCACTGGTGAAATGTTATGACAAGATGTATTAAATACCGTAATAAATACAAATTTATGCTTAGTTCCTTCTGCCTGTGTACATTAAATAACTTGTATTGTATAGATATTAAATGAACTGCCGATTGATCATTTACCACTGTCAATTTATGTCACAGTTGAGGGGTTGGCAACAAACTCCCCTTCCTCTCGCCAAGGCAACTGTAGACGACAAGTACTCAGATAAGTTCCTAACATGAAAAAAGCAACATTCATAAAGGTGTGGGTACTTTTGTGAAACTAGAATTTTAGTTTATTACTCTGACTAACAAAGCAAAGGGAAATCCTACCAGCATAGCGATTGTCTATACCTTTAAGTATGTTGCTTCGTTTAAATTACAAAATTAATCCGTATATGGGCTCCTTTGCACAGAGGTATCCCCACAGAAATCTGTCTTTTCAAACAGTGACTGACTAGCAGACAGCATGGGCATCTTCATAACACACCTTGAATATTAGGAAGACATCCCATTAAAATCGGAATGGGATTATTCAACTTCGCTGCCATTTTGCCATCGGGCCAATTAGCAATCAAGATATATTTTTCTCTACATGCCATGTCTCTCCAAGCCTATATTTTACCTATTTTGTTTGCCTATTTTATACCCTAGGGATCAACTAATATGCTGGCTAGGATCTGTACCTAGGAAGTCTCCGCAAAAGGGGTATAAAATACGTGAAGTCTGATACTATGGCCAGAAAGGGCAGCTTATGTTGCCTTGGACAGTAGGGGCTTAGGCCATCCGAGTAGGTAGAGACAGGTTCTTTAATAGGCTTACTTACAACCGAACTTACTGACCCCGAGTTGTTGGCTTAGTGAGGAATGTTAAGACAGAGTTCAAAGTTTTTTAAACTCTGTCACAGTGCAATGGGGTCCCATTGCAAGTTCAAGAGTACTCAACGAAGACTTCTTTTTGAGGGCTTTTTAATGATTTCCCTGCATCCAACCTAACACGAAGGTATGAGGTCCATCCATGTAATGCCAGATTCAGATATATGGCGGAACACGCAATTTAAACACACTTACCTATTATATGGTAAAACATCTTTTTAAACTTCTACAATTTAAAGAACCAAATGGCTTGAAGGATCTACATTTTAGCAAATTCCTCATATTAAAACTTGTTTAATAATATACAAAATGTTTTTGATAAAATTTTATAAATATATCGGTAAGCATGACGAAAGTTATATTTATTATTTTTAATAGAGTAATGTGCTAATAAGATTCCTAAGTAATTCCATTTTTAATTCAGGTTTTATAAAAATGTGAATTCCTGCTTGCAATTTTCCTGAACTAGATGATTAAAATTTCAAGAAATTTTTATGAATCGTCTAAACACTATTATCTGCATTTTCGGAAACGTTAACATAAACAGAACATCTTGGAGGTTTAGCCCAAAATTATGAAGTGTGATCTTTTGTTCTATTTGACAGTAAGATAATTTTCTAATCCTGTATAATTTTTTACATCCCATACTTGTAAACAAGTAATTACACATACTATAAGCAACCATTAAACAGGAGGATGCAATAGCAGGGATACAAACACCCTCCTTCAGTAGAAATTTAAAAAAAAAAAATTATAAATATGCCAAAAAAATTGAATCACTGGTTATCAAATGACCGACATGTACACTGTTTCATTTCCAAATAAAATTCAAGATGTGAAATACTCTTTTCCTGAGCTCCCTTTTCGGATCAGTCTTTATCTCCACAATATTCATATGTTGTTGTTGTTGTCTTGCCCATATTACATGGAACAATGGTTGTCAGAACCTACTCCAAAGAGAGGTTGGACTTCTATTTTCCATCTCCAATTTTGAGGGACAGCAGCCTGGGGTGGGTCAGTTTGAACGCCTAGCAAGAACCGATCCAGGGGTCTCTCCCCCTTTTCCCTTCCACCAATCCACACGAGAGGATTTTCTGGTGGCCGCATATTTAGAGGGCTGTCATGCCACACCAACACTATTATATTTAAAAACATTCCTGTCTTCTCCTGGATTCGAACCCAAGCCCTTCGGTAAAGTAAGTAGGCTCCCCCTAACAACTAAATTTAATACTGTCTGGGCGACTATGCTATTGCTTAATTTCTAAATTAGAGCTGCTAGAAATGATAAGATGGTATGGCTTCTTTCAAATTCAAGATGATGAAGCAAGAATCACAAGTAGGCCTGATCTGCCAAAGTATTTTAACCATTATTCAATAGCCAGACGTAGTTTACCCTCAAATATCTCAAAATACATTCACACAGTTTGTAAAAAAAATTTAAGCTGGTTTTTCAGAAGTTTCAAAAGACAATATTTCAAGATTCTAAATTAAAGGTTCAATAACAAAGGAAACACAGCTGAAATAATCTTACCTTTCGCTGTTGTTTCTCCCATGCTGGATCTAATAATCCTTCTCGTTCCCACTCCTCTTCTTGCTCCATATAATTATTACCATCCATCATCATGATTACTTAGCACTAAAAAGAGAATTTTCTTAAAATTATTCAACCAATTATAACAAAAACAAAAGATTATAAATTCAAGACACTTTGCAGATGATAATCTCATAGAAAAACTTTGTTCAAATGAACTCTATTGAAATAATATTTGCCAGCAGCAATTTTAATGCACTAAAAAAAAATCTGATAAGGATACCATGACTTCTTTGCACGGCCTATTAAATTATATGCATTTTTTGCTACATTTCATTCATTTAAACATATTTCCTTGAATTATTCTAACTCAATTAACCGATCCCTCAGAGCAAGCTGAAAACGACATCAAAAACTGCAATTAAATATCTCTGTTAATTTTTGTTGTGCAGGATTCAAACTTTTTATAATTTTCTTTTTTCATAACGAGTATAAAACTTTCCCTAATATAAGTACAGAAACCAGGAGATTGCTTTAAAAGTTAAATTTTGTCATTTATCCAAAATTAACTTTTTTTTTTTTTTTTTTTTTTAAATTTGCTATTACCGAACTTTTAATTTAAAATTTGCCATTGCCCAAAAAACTAATATCTTCATCATTTAAACCACTTCTTGTAATTGTAAGTATATGACCATGATCAACGATTGCAAAAATAAAGGTAAGATAATCAGTAAAATTATCTTTACTGATTCTAAGGCATTTCAGTTAATGTTGCAGATTGCCCTGTTCCTTAATCTTCTAATTGGATCCGGCTTATTATTTTTGGTAGACTGTTAGAACAATTTTATAAAAATTAAGCTTGAACTATCGATTATGTCAAAAAAGAGTTTTCAATTCTGGAGCTGCCAAAGGATCTACAAAGAGAAAGCATGTTTCGATATACCTTTTATGATAGTGAAGAAAGTGACACAGAGGTTATTGAAAACGAAAAAATTTCGATTGACAAGTTAGTCGGTATTCTCAACACAGGAATTATAGGACTTGAACAGTGGAACTTTATAACTCAACAAGAAATTATGTCTGTTTATAGAATTAAATAGAAAGTATTATCAAAAAAACAAAGCAACTTAAACAACTTACATTGAAAGAAATGTTTAATAAAGTAAACAAATAAATATTAAGTTTTTTTTTTTTTTTGTAAATTTTGATACCCTTCAGATCATAATTGTTCTTTATTTCATTAATTACGGTTTCATATTTTTATTTGTATAATTTCTGCATGCCATCTTACCAGATTTAAATTGATGATTTATAATCCGGAATTGCCGAAGTTCCGACGAGTCCGGATTATGGACTTTGTACTGTATATGGTTTTGCTGAGTGCAATAAAAATGGGAGGTGCACAATTAGATGTTATAGCAACCCCATACAAAGAATTTCAATATTCTATGGCTAATCCTTTTTGAGTCATATAATATATATATGTACAGACATTACGAAAAAAACTATTCTGAATCCATTTTGTAGAATTTGAATGTCTCTTATTCAATCCGTATGTACAGACACCATGCAAAAAACGGTCAAAATGGAGATGCTTCTGTTGAAATCTGATAATAAGACTTTATCTAATTAATCTGATAAGGCCTTTTACTTCATAAAAGCAAGTAAAAATTAAAGCTACAGTTGTCCAACTGCAGATTCAAACATATTGATGTTAACAAAACTCTGGTATAATATCGTTAAGAAAAAGGTCACAAAAGTTTTCAAATAGCCCCCATAATTATAAACCATGTTCAAAGAGTGCTGACCCGGGCTTTATTTATGCAACCATCGGTCATTGGCAGACTTCCAGTTACAAAAATGGATACATTTCTGTTTTATCGGAAATAGATTCAGAAATATATATTCTGTACATGTATGCATGTAGGTATGTATATGTTTATATACTCTGATACATACATTTCTGAATCTGGTCCTGATAACAGGAAATTGACTATTCAAGGCAAAATTTCAGATTTTATCTGAATTAAAGGTGATCTCTAACCCTTTCTCAAAGTATATGCCAATTCCAACTTTATAGCAAGACTGGAATGCTGCCCTTTAACACATTGAGCCCGGTGCCGGTCCGAACTTTCCATGTGGCCTGCATTGGAAATTTCGTTTGGCCAGCGTCGGTCCCTGAAATTTTCATTTGGCTGCCATCAGTTCGCGGGGCCGACAGTATTAGCATTCGTGACCACGAGCTTTGTCAAGCACAGGCAGGGCTTGTATGTCAGTAGCCGACAAATCTTACCAACAGATAAGCTCTACTCAGTGCATGAAGTCTCGGATCACCCTGCAACATTGCACCATTTAATCGTTTAATCGCTCGCACCAGCTGAATGGAAAGGACAACAAATTCAACACTGAGCTCAATGTGTTAACTGATATGCGTCCAACACTCCAACATTCTCAAGGATTTTTCCCAAACATCCTTTACAATAGGTGTTTCCCAATCTTTTATGATATGATATACCCTCAGATGAAACCCAACAATTTTGTGAAACAGCCATTTATATCTTTAATTGCTACTACAGTTACTGTATTATCACAAAAATATTAATTTGACATCTCTCCTTGGTACATTCTATAGAGTTGGTCAAGATGACAAACATTATGATTGTTAGACCAACTCACAAATCATCTTAAATCTATTGAATCAATTTCTGCATTCAGAAATCATTATTTTGTTGTCAGAAAATAGTGATTCTCAAAAACTTATTAGAAACAGAAGAAAAATTTAATTCTTGAAGTTCTGGATATGTGGCATGAAGATACACGATATACTGACATGCTGCGGAAGACCAATTTGGAAACAGTGTTCAACAATGTGAAAAGAGCAGTTCTTCAGATTGAATTTTCAGCATATAGAATGGGTGAAGGTAGAGGTCACAAAATACAATCAAGTGAATACCTGTGAAGTTGGTATCCACCAAAAATATTGGGTACTTTTCTGTTTATGAGGACTGGATTCAGAAGTGTATGTATGTGTGCACTTATATACATTGGTATGTATGTATACTCATATACACACATACATACATGAATACATTTCCTTACTTTACTTATATTTAGGAAAACTTTTGGTACTTTCACATTATCCACACAGCATTTAAAATAATCACTTGGCAAAGCGCTATGTTAGGAAAGGAGGCAATCCGGGATTTACGGAATATGTATTTTAAATGGTAACCTACAAATGATTAGATGAGTACTAGGTGATGTGCGCCATTTGGGAATTGGAGGGTAACATTTGTGGTATTCCCTGACTTTTGTTAAAAAGCTAAAGCAGGTCGATGTGCACATGGAGAGCAGTGCCAAGTTGCATTGTGATTCTGTAATTTCCTGATTCTTTTTTAAGTTACAGCAGGTCGCAGTGAATATAAATTGAGAAAATAGACAGGTAAGTGTTTTACAGCAGATGTCTGTAGCATTTTTAATTTAGTGAATTTATTACTGTTTATGAAGTTTCAATGCTTCGTTATCGGATGTTGGTTCTGTGTAATTTTTATTATTTAATTATAGATGTTTATGGCATTTTTAATTTTATAAATTCATTGCTGTTTCATATAATTTTCAGCGCATCACTATTTTTTTTAATGGGTACTGTTTTTCACTGGTAAAAAAGTAGTTGCCAGCATCTGCCGACTTATATTAGGAGTGCTGGTCAGATAATGTGAATTTAACAAATTTTTGTAGTCATTATAAAAAATAACTTCATAATAACACTTTTCACTGCTTATTACTAGGTTATTTCAACATCATTTTGTTCAGATTTAAGGAGAAACTATAGAAACTATATATGCCAGGCTGTGCCCAGATTCTAACTAACAGGGGCAGAGGGGGACATGGATCATTGCGGCACATAAACATCAACAGTAAGATTCTCAAATGCATACTCAATTTTATTTAACAGAAAAAACATTTATTCAAAGTAAAACATTCAAAGAAATCGCTAAGAGATTTCAATAGCTATATACACTTATTGTACTTTTTTTTATTCCATCAAAACATGGATAATTTCTCGATACAAGAAAAGTATTTCAAGATCTTTTATTCCTGTTATTGCAAGGGAAAATGAAAATGAATATAGAAGGGTCTTTTTGAATTTTTTAAATTAATTCTAAAATACAATCTCTACACCAAAGTTCCACATACTATATAAAATTACTGCAAACATTCCTCACAAATTCTGCATGTGCTGCTAGTTATAAGAAGAGTTTTCTAAATAAAAATTCTTTAGAATTATAATTTTTTGAAATATTTTGCATTTAAGAAGTACTATTTAAGAACTATAAATACTTATTTTGCATTTAAGAAATCTTTCTATACTGTTTATATTACTGTAACTGAAGAAATTAAGTAGTGTCTACTGTATCATCAATGGCTTTGCAAAAAAAAAAAAAAAAAAAAAAAAAATGATAATATAATTTTAAAATGTTGGGATTAAAATTTTTCTTCAAAAACAAACATACAGTTTAAATTTATTTCCCTGTATCAAATTTTTATACTTTTTTAGTTATTTGTTCATATATCAAGAAGGGCAGAACCTTCTTGATATACAAACCTCCTGCTACTGGGACAGAATTCAGAAAAGTATGTATGTACATGCGCATATGAGTGTGTGTGCACACATACATACATACATGAGCACACGTACCTATACATATATCCATACATTCTTACATTTCTGAATTTGGTCCTGATAACAGATGAGTACCGTATTTTAAAATAATACTGAATTTTAGATGACATGCCTTTGCTATGTGTAAACATGCTTCATGAGATTTCCAAAATTTAAACATAGGTAGAAGTGCTTCCTCACTGATCTAAGATATAAAATTAATAATTAAAAATAATACAGTACAAAGTCCGTAATCTGGACCTCAAAGCCACGAACATTTTTTGTGTGCTTTACGCACACATGTTTAATGTATAACAGACGGTATAAGCTAGGCTAAAATTATCTTTACTGATTCTAAGGCATTTCAGTTAATGTTGCAGATTGCACTGTTTCTTAATCTTCTAATTGGATCAGGTTTATTATTTTTTGC